GAACCAACAAATGGAAGATCCTCTCTGTTTCTCCTTTTGATAAACCTGGCTGTCAAATGAAATAATAAATCTTAAAAAGAAAAAGAAGGAAAAAAACAGTATTTAACAACAGGGCAGTTGCCCACATTCTACACTGCAGTACTCAGAGTCCCAGCTACCTGTTAACACACGTGGCATACCGGCTAACACACATGGTGCCCAGCTAGAATGTTTGACTTCTGCCACCCTCATGGAGACCCTGAGGGAGTTCCGAGTTCCTGACTTCTGGGGAGCTGGATTTTGTATTGATGGCGTTTGGGGAGTAAATCAACAGACAGAAGATCTATCTCTGACCTTCAAATAATCAACTACACCTTTAAAAATTAACCACAGGGCCCAGCGCTGTGGCCTAGCGGCTAAAGTCCTTGCCTTAAACGCGCCAGGATCCCATATGGGCGCCGGTTCTAATCCTGGCGGCTTCACTTCCCATCCAGCTCCCTGCCTGTGGCCTGGGAAAGCAGTTGAGGACGGCCCAAAGCCTTGGGACCCTGCACCCACGTGGGAGACCTGGAAGAGGTTCTTGGTTCTTGGCTTCAGATCGGCGCAGAATCAGCCATTGTGGTCACTTGAGGAGTGAATCATTGAGCAGAAGATTTTCATCTATCTCTTCTCTCTGTATATCTGACTTGTAATAAAAAGAAATCTTTAAAAAAACATTAACCGCAGAAATCAGAATGTGGCAGCAACTGCCAGTCAGATACTCAAAAGCAAGGAAGGAAAACAAGTATCTGAGTCATGAGCAGCAGTTCAAGGGTCAGTTACTGTGTTATCTTAGAAACAACTCAAAAATAAATCACTTTTCTCGTAAAGATATACATTAGGAAACAGCAACAAATAAACAGACTCGATCAGTGATGCAACAGGCTAATTCTCTGTCTTGTGATGTAGGCATCCTATATGGCCACTGGTTTGTGTCCCAGCTATTCCACTTCTGACTCAGCTCTCTGCTTATGGCCTGGTAAAGCACTGGAGGATGGCCCCAGTCCTTAACCCGGCACTTAATGTGGAAGACCTGGAAGAAGTTCCTGGCTTCAGATTAGCTCATCTCTGACTGTTGTAGCCATTTGGGGAGTGAACCAGCAGTGGAAGACCTTCTCTGTCTCCTCCTCTTTCTGTAGAACCTGCCTTCAAAATAAAAATGAGTGGGGCCTGGCGCGGTGCCACAAGTGGTTAAGATCCTCGCCTTGCACGCCCGGGATCCCATGTGGGCACCGGTTCTATCCCAGCAGCCCCGCTTCCTTTCCAGCTCCCTGCCTGTGGCCTGGGAAAGCAATCGAGGACGGCCCAAAGCTATGGGAACCTGCACCCGCATGGGAGACCCGGAAGAGGCTCCTGGCTTCGGGTCGGCATAGCATCGGCCGTTGTGCTCACTTGGGGAGTGAGTCATCGGATAGAAGATCTTCCTCTCTCTCTCCTCTCTGTATATCCGCCTTTCCAATTAAAATAATAACAATAATATAAAAATGAGCAAACCTGTTTTTTAAAAGATTTATTTTTGTTGCAAAGTCAAATGTATACAGGAGGAGAGACAGAGAGGATTATCTTTCGTCTGATGATTCACTCCCCAGGTGACTGCAATGGCTAGAGTTGAACTGATCGATCCAAAGCCAGGAGCCAGGAGCTTCCTCCAGGTATCCCATGGAGGTGCAGGGTCCCAAGGCTTTAGGCTGTCCTTGACTGCTTTCCCAGGCCACAAGCAGGGAGCTGGATGGGAAGTGGGGCTACTGGGATTAGAACCAGCATCCATTTGGAATCCTGGCGCATTCAAGGTGAGAACGTTAACTGCTAGGCCACTGTGCCCGGCCCAAAAATGAGTAAATCTTAAGGAAAAAAGCTTATACACACCATGTAGTATTTACAGAAGGTTTTCAGGTTTTGAGCTAATATTCTAATTTTTTTTTTTTTTTAAGATTTATTTTTATTATTTTTTTATTGGAAAGGCGGATATACAGAGAGGAGAGACAGAGAAGAAGATCTTCCGTCCGATGATTCACTCCCCAAGTGAGCGCAACGGGCCGATACTATGCCGATCCGAAGCCAGGAGCCTCTTCTGGGTCTCCCACGCGGGTGCAGGTTCCCAAAGCTTTGGGCTGTCCTCGACTGCTTTCCCAGGCCACAGGCAGGGAGCTGGAAGGGAAGCGGGGCTGCCGGGATTAGAACCGGCGCCCATATGGGATCCCGGGCGTGCAAGGCGAGGACCTTTAACCACTTGCGCCACCGCGCCGGGCCCTAATATTCTAATTTTAGAAACTTTGTTGGAAAGTCAGATTTATAGAGAGAAGAGATGCAGAAAGATTTTCCATGCACTGGCTTACTCCCCCAAATTTTATTAATTGGAGAAGAGAGAAAGCAAACACATGTACAGAGATTCATCTTCTGGTTTACTCCCCTGATGCTCACAGAATCCTGGACTGGATCGGGACAAAGCTGAGAGCCAGAGACCCAATTTCCATCTCCTGCATATTTGGCAGGGACCAGATTGCTTGAGGCAGCCCATGCTCCTCCTCCATGAGCATCCGCAGGAAGCTGGCACTGGGAGCAGACCCAGGGTTGAATGCAGGCACTCTGTTATGGGATGTGTGGGTATCTTGAGCAGTATCTGAACTGTTAGACCAAGTGCTTGGTTTTATTGGTATCTGGAAGAGGGAATGATATTTCATATGTTAGTATGTTAGTCTTTTATATACTTTGAAGGAAACAAATTTAATGGAATCTAACTTTGTTACCTTAAAGTTTGTGCTGTAAAAGCAGTTGCCGTTTAGATGAACCACTGTGTTCTTGCCATTCTTCCCACTCTTAAATTTCAAGGAATTACTAACAAGTCTAAGATGATTTTGGAATTATTTAAGGTTATTAAGATTACAATGGTGGCTTTAGGTCACAATAAGTGTATGAATTATGTTCACTTAAATCACTTACACCCATGACAGTACAGTGGATACTGAATAGCAGGCGGGTAAGAATTGGCAACATTAGCAATTGCCAGCACTTTGCATATAGCATTGTGCTGTTTTATTGTTCATGCCTTTAAGGTCCAAGTGAAATGGTGTTCGGGTATCATTTCAAAGTCGTGAAACTGCTCAGCGGAATTCTGAGAAGAGTGGTCTCAGTGAATTCTTTCAGTACAGCTGTTCTGTGTGCAGTACTGCCAGGAGAGCTGAATTTCCTAGTACACCCTTCCGAATTTCTGGAGAATCAGGGTCCCGGAAAACTGCGACAGCCACCCTTAATTGAAAAATACTTTTGTGTATTGTGAAAATCGAAAATTTGGCTGCTGCACTGGCCAGAGTTGAACTGATTTGAACCCAAGAACTAGGAACTACTTTGGGTATCTCACATGGGTGCAGGGTGCAAGGCTTTTTGGACGGTCCTCTACTGCTTTCCCAGGCCACAAGCAGGGATCTGGATGGGAAGTAAAGTAGCTAGGACATGAACTAGTGCCCATAGGGTATCCCGGCAGATGCAAGACAAGGACATAAGCCACTAAACTACCTTGCTGGGCCCAATAATTTATGTATATATATTTTTAAAAAGATCTATTTTCATTGGAAATGAAGATGTACTGAGATAAGTGATACAGAAAGATTTCCATCCTCTGATTCACTCCCCAAGTGGTCACAATGGCTGGAGCTAAGCCAGTTTGGAGCCAGGAGCTTCTTCTGAGTCTCCCATGCAGGTGCAGAGCCTCAAGGCTTTGGGCTTTTCTTGACTGCCTTCCCAGGCCACAAGCAGGGAGCTGGATGGGAAGTGGAGCAGCTGGCATGCATATGGGTTCTCAGTGTGTGCAAGCAGAGGATTCAGCCAGTAGGCTATTGCTTAGCTCATTATCTGGTAGTGTTTTTATACAGAACTTAAATTAGTGATTTGAAATTTCTGATCAGAGCTTATTCAAATAATGTGAACATTTGTGACCATGTGTGACAAATACTCCTTTACTGCATTACTCAGTTCAACATAGAAATGAAAAGGAAGCCTTTCTAGTGGCACTGATTAATTTATGTTCCTCCAGTTTTTAGAATGTTGCATCACATCATTATGTTTTCCTTCTTCAGTAGAAGTAATGAAGAAAGAACTATTCAGATTTCTTAAATGAAAGCCTAAGAAAGTTTGTGAAGAGTTTGATATAGACATGTACTCATTTTTTCTTGTTTTGGTCTCCTGAATATCAGCCATTTATCTGTTAAGTTCTTATAGGAAGTTCAGTTTGTGTTTTGAGCTGAGTTGTTGTGATTATAACCTATTTTCACAACTTCTCCTTTCTGAACAGATTGTAGCTAATGTGCTGGTTTCACAGAAGAGGTTTATGAAATTTAGAGATCAGTTGTCCAAGGAAGGTTTGCTCAGTAGAACTGATCCGGACATGCAGGTTACCTGAGGCGGTTGTCCAGGTTTCTGTACATGACCTGATTTATCTCACCATTAAGACATATGATCTTGCAGCTTCCTTTGAATTTCCTGTTTCATTTGTTGTCCCACCAGTGCTGTGCAGTTAGTATGATGTACATTGTTTTTAAAACTGTGACAGAATTTTGAGGCTGAGAGGCTGTGATTGAATTGTAGAGTGACAGACTCCCTGAATACTTACTACTTTCTGTGTCCAGAGCTAAAGCTCAGGGGTTTGATTTTAGGTACAGTGCTTGTTTTTGTGCAGTTAAGGAAGCAGAGAGCAGGCATATTTGTAATGTGCTTTGATTTTTTTTTTTTAATTGAAATTTCTTGGTTATTCCTTGAAAAAAATTTTTTTTCTGAGTTCTGGATCCACATGCTTTGATTTTGGTATTCCTGACATTTTGTAACAGATCGGTTATTCAGACTTAACAGCTTAATAAGACAGTGCAGCATTGATGAAGACTGCAGTAAGATCAAGTTGTTTACCTAGGATGTTTTTACGATTTGGTTGTTTTTCTTGCAGTATGATGTGCATTGGATAAGTTTTGATTTTTACCTGTTCTTTCTTTCAGTGAATGGTAGTGTCTAGAAAGGGTATGTCCCTTCAAGAGAGAGGTGCCAATGTCCAACCGGCCTAATAACAATCCAGGGGGGTCACTGCGACGTTCACAGAGGAACACTGCCGGGGCCCAACCACAAGACGACGCGATAGGAGGAAGGTATGTATGCTACAATAACTTGACAAGGAATTGGCAATAAGAGAATATTTTTTGAAAACCTTTTTTGGGGGAACAAAACTGGAATGATTCACTACAAATAGATATTTTTTCCTAATTTTTTACCCAAGCAGCACAAGGAAAGCAGTAATTCAACACCATTCCTAAATCATATCTCATATATGCTAAGCTCACAAACTAGTTCTCAGTTATTGACATCAAAAGCTGGATTTTGGATCACTGGCGTGATGGCGTGTCATACTTTGTGCCTTCTCATTTTACGAAATATGCTGCAGCACATCTAATAGCCAGTTGTGATTGTTGTCCTGTATATGTGATCTGTATATCTTGTCTCAATGATAGTTTATTGAAAGGAAGCTTTATTTGTCTCAAGAACTTGAGTTTTGATGCTTTGGCTTTTTCTGTCATGCTTTTTGTGAATACTGAGGTGTGAAGTTTTTCTTACATAGATATCAGTTGTGTCTTGCTAGTTATCTATTGTTGTCCTTTTCGGTCTTAACTGTTACGAACAATGAGATCTGTTGAATTTAAAATTCTGGACCTGAGTCAACCAAGGTTTGTCACCATATCGGGATACTCGGAGTTCTTCTTGTAAGGTCTGCTCTGTCATCCATTGACACTGGACAGTGATTATGGTTAGCTTGCAGTTAATGTGGGTTAGGTCTTTTTTAAATAAAGGATTTATTATTTATTTGAAAGGCATAGTTAGAGAAAGATGGAGAGACATTCCATTTATCTGCCAGTTGACTCCTCAAGTGCCTGCAGTGGCCAGATCTGGGCTGGTCAGGAGCCAGGAACTTCATCTGGGCCTGCTATGTGAGTCCAGGGGCTGTCGTCTTCCGCTGCTTTCCAGGCACATCAGTAGGGAATTGAATAGAAGTGGAGAGACTGGGACTCGAATAGGTATCCATGTGGGATGGTAGTGCCACAAGCTATAGATTTATTAGCTGCACCACAGAATTGGCCCATGGCCTACATTTTGATAGGATTGCCTGATGGAGGCACTTTAAGCATAATGATATATTTTCTGGCAAGTTGTAATGCCTACACCCATGCACATAGGCTTTACATGAGGTGTACAGAATAAATTCCTATCATGTTAACAGTAGAATAAGTGGTAAAACTTGTGGACTTTGGAATAGAATATCTGTATCTGTTTTCTTTCTCTGACATTGAACAGCGGTGTGGCTTTTGTTAAGGGTTTTGGGAAACATTAATTTCTTAACCTATACAGTGGGGTTTCAAAAGGTCGTTTGGAGAGTGAACTAGCCGATAAGAAATCTCTCTCTTTACTTCTCTCTCTCTAACTCCCTTTAGATCAGTATTTATTTTATTTTTATTTTAGTGTTTGAAAAGCAGAAAGACATAGACACAAGTCTCTGATCTTTTGGTTCAGTCTTGCAAATGCTTGCAGCAGCCAAGGCATTGTATGGTCTCTCAGATGGGTCTCACACTTGTGGCCGGTCCTCTGATACGGGATGATACTTGAGCCCTCCCCTGCCTCCCTGGGTGGAGCACTCTAGGATATAAGCATCACATACAGCAGCTGCAGCAGTAGATCAAATGCCTGCCACTTCCACAGTTGACTTCTTTTTTTTAAAGGATTATATTTTTTTATTTATTTGAGAGTGAAACAGAAGTAGATAGCCCTTATGGGATGCTGGCATTGGAGGTTATAGCTTTACCACTATGCCACATTATCAGTCTGTCACAACTTTCAAGTCAACATACTTATTCAAAAAGAAACTGCCCACAAAAAGGGCCATTTTTACCTTTAGGATCCTGACACTTTCAAGGTGAGGACTTAGCCACTGAGTCATCACACCATATCCTGAAAGGCAGATTTTACAGAGAGAAGGGACAGAGTAATCTTTTACCTGCTGGTTTACTCCTCAAATGGCCATAATGGACAGAGATAACCTAATCTGAAACCAGAAGCCAGCAGCTTCCTCTGGTCTCCCATGTGGTTACAGGGTCCCAAGGCCATGGATCATTCTCATTGTCAAGCCATAAGCAGTGAGGTGGATGGAAAGTGGCGCAACCATGACATGAACCGGTGCCTGTCTGGGATGCTGTCCACACAGGTGGAGCAGTAGTCTGCCATGTCATCATATCGACCCTTGGTTCCCCCATCCTCAGCAGTTTGGGTCTTCATTTGGGTCTCCACCTGAGTGACAAAGGCCCTCCCTATTCTTTGGGCTTTCACTGGTTTCCCCAGGCGATTAGCAGGGCCAGAAACCCACGCAGGATGTCCACTTCGCAGGCTCTAACTTGACCTTCCCTCTTGTTTTCTGATTTTGTAGGTGCTTATTGTTTTGTTAGAGGGTTTATGTAAAGGATATCAGAGCACTGATGAATATTTTCTCCTCTTAGTTGCCTGCTGCCTCCAGCGTCTGTGTTAGAGGGGAGCGGGATCACAAACATTTGGGATGCAGGCACCTCAACATCTTTTCTTTTCCAAATGAAGAGTATTTTCTTAGTTCTAATTTTGTTTTTATATTTGACTAAAATCTGTTATTTCTTTTTTTTAGTCTTCTTTTTTTGGAGTTTTATTTATTTTTATTGGAAAGTCAGATATACAGGAATAGGAGAGACTGAGAAAAGATCTTCCATCCAATGATTTTACTCCTCAAGTGGCCACAATGATCAGAGCTGAGCCAATACAGAGCCAGGAGCTTCTTCTGGGTCTTCCACATGGGTGCAGGGTTCCAAGGCTTTGGGCCGTCCTCGACTGCTTTCCCAGGCCACAAGCAGGGAGCTGGATGGGAAGTGGGGCCACTGGGACGTAAACCAGCGCCCATATTGGGTCCCTGCATGTTCAAGGCAAGGACTTTAGCTGCTAGGCTACTGCGTAGGGCCCGCAGTTTCTTTTTTTTTTTAATTGTTTAGGTAACTGAGAGGAATATACTCTCATGTGGGCCTCTGATTCGACTGGGATGGGTTAGGTATGTAGAATGGTGGGTGGGACAAGTTTATGTTTCAATTTGTGTTTTCTGCTGTGTGCACATGGGAGGAGGAGGATGAGGAAAAGTCAGCTCCTGTGTCAAATGATAGCTGTGAGAAGTTGTTATGCTGCAGGGTTGAGAAAATCTTTCCAAGGTCTGCTGGCTGACAAAGTCCATCCCAGTGTATCCACAGATCCAGGAACATGCAGCAAAGCTTGGCCAGGAGAATTGTCGAACCTTTTTGGCTTTCCATTCAAAGACATGGCACTTAATGTCCCTTGCTGGCCTAGATGAGCTGCCCCATATGTCTCTTGCATCTGGACATGCTGTTAACTGCACAGGCATCAGCAACTGAGGAGGCTCCATCCCAATACATACACTCCAGGATCGGACCATACGTACTATGATTTTCGCTGTGGGTTGGGGTAGAGAAAAGTCTCCCAAAAAACCTTGTGTGGGGTGACTTCAGACTTGACTCTTAATATGTTCCAGCCAGTGCAGGGTCAGGTACAGTTTGTCAGCTAAAGCACGTAGTAATGGGATGCAGCTGTTTCATCCCAGTCCCATACCTCCTGCATACCAGTGATGCTGTGACCTAGTTGGGGTGACCTGTAATAACTTCCACTAGACCTGTCCCCAGCCCTGGTTTTTGCGCATGCCAGCCTCTGCTGCAGCCTAGCCCGGCCCAACCAGATTCCAACCTTCTCTGTTGCATACCATTGGTGCCATGGCTTACCTCAGCCCACCCTGCCTCCAGACCTGGCTCTCAGGTATGCCAACAGGTGTTGCTGCCTTGTCCAACCTGGCCCACATCCAGCCCTAGTTCTCATAATCCCAGCCCCAGATCTTTCACCTGCCAGAGTGTAGGTGCTACCGTCAGCATTATATGAGTTGCAGCAGTTTCTGGCACTTGACAGCTGGTGTGGCTGTCTAGCTGGGCTGGCCCACACTCTTCCCCCTCTTGTGTTCACTAGCAGTCAAAGCAACCTAGCCAAGCCTGAACCATCCCTCTTCCAGCTCTCACGCTCGTCTGTAGTAGCAGCAGCTCAGCAGTATGGTTCTAGAGGTTACCCTGCTGGGCCTGCTCCCCGGCCCTGGGTTTTGCACCTGTCATCGGGTGCTCTGGCACAGGCTAACATGGCCTGCCCCCAAGTCTTGGCATTTACCATCAGGTGCTGCAGCCCAGCCTAACCTTGCCTTCTTCCAGCACCAGCCCTTATGTGAACTTGCAGGTGTTGTGGTCCTGCTGGGTCCAGCTTGCACCCTGTCCTGGCTTTCAGTTGTGCCAGCTGGCAGGAAGGAAAATTTGTGTTAACTATACCAGTATGCCAGCACAGGATGGTCTCCTGTGCCTCTTAGATGGAAGATACTTCTTTGAACACAGTCTTACTCTGAGCCTGGGTAGCCATAATCTTGCTTTTGACCAAAGGTAGATTCGGCAGTACAGTCTTATCCTGAGCACTGTGACTTATAGTCCAGGATGGGGCACATTGGAAATTTTGGCCATTTTCACTTCTGATGGCAAATGTAAGAAAATGTGAATCTGCAGTTACCTGTTGTCGTGTCTCCTGCTTTATGGAAGAAGGTGGGTAGGAGGAGACAGTCAAGCTGTTGGAGAGTAGTTGTGTTTTATTAGTAGTTTTTGGAGCTGTGTGAATTCCACTTGAGGCTTGAGTATTCCACTCTTGTTCAGGTCCTGGAGAAAGGCATGTGTTGCCTCAGTAAGGCCTCTTTTGCCAGTTTGTACAGTTCTGCCTTAAAAATTTTATAAGATTGTATTCATTAATACATTGTTAATAAAGACTGGTTTATAGCAGCTACGGAAGTACGCAGTGTTAAGCAGTCCTGGCCCTGTCAGGGAAGTGGGCCTCGGGCTCTTCGTGGTGGAGTCAGGTGAAGGACATTGCTAGAGATGACTTCATGGGTCTGGGCTCTGCAGACTGAGCAGCAGTTGCAAAACAGATGGTGCTTGTCAGCTATGTTTGTCTTTATGTGACAAGTGGACTCATGAGGTACTTTGAAGGCTTGAATATTATCTACGGTTCTTTCGTATCACTTACTACTTTTGCTCCTAAGCAGACTAGGTATTCTTCAAATACTAGCATAGGTTAGAAATCAGATCCCTCCCCTGCCCCACTGGCATTTTTAGGCTTTCTTAAATTACTAAAATGATGATGAAATGTTGACTGTTTGGAAGATGGGTTGACATAGGGCATATTTTAAATGGGTTTTGCAATAAATAGGATGGATTGGATTATACTGTAGTAACAACTCAAAAATAAATATTAGTTGTAGATAATGCAGCTGTTGGTTCCGCTGCACAGCTGCTCTTTGAGATGCTCACATTCTCTGGTGTTCCCAGGGTGCTTATTGAAGCTAAAGCTGACAGTGAGCTGGCCTCTATGTTCTCTCATATTTCCCCCAGGAGTGATCATTTCTGCCCATATTTCCTTGACCACAATAAATTATGAAAATTCCCGGTGGTTTAAAAGTGCCATCTAGGGTGAGCACTGTGGTATGCTTAGCTACTGTTTGGGACACCTGTCTGTGTTAATAGATGCAGCTCAAGTCTCAGCCCCTCCAGGCTTCAGCTCCAGCTATCTGCGCCTGGGAAGGTAGTATATGATGGCCCAGCTACTTGTGTTTATGCCCCCTTGTGGGAGAACTGAATAGAGTGTTTGCCTTCTGGTTTTAGACTGACCTAGTCCCAGACATTTGAGATGTGATTCAATAGATGGAAAATTTCTTTCTCGCTCAGATTCTGCCTTTCAAATAATTATTAAGAAAATAAAAAGTACCATCTTACAGTTTTTATGGGAAGACAACAAATCAAATACTTATGGTTTACAGGCTATTTTTTCTGTTTTTAAGGAAAAGTAAAAGGCTCATCTTTGTGCCCGAAAGGCAGAGTTACAGAGAGCAGGAGACAAAAGTCTTCCATTCTCTAGTTTCCCTCTAAATGTCTGCCATGGCTGGACTGGGCCAGCCGGTAGCCAGGAGCTTCCCATACACGTGCCATTTTTCATTACCTTCCCAGGTACCGTAGCAGGGATGTGGAGCAGCACCCATGGTACATGATCCATTGAGCATGTAGGATGCTGATGGCACAGACGGCCGTTTCACCCACTCTGCTGTAGCGCTAGTCCCATAATTAACATTCTGAATCACATATTTGACAGTTTTTCCCCCCACATTCTATTTAAGATTTATCTCTAGGGTTAGGATGTGGTCTCCTTCTCCTACTTAACCAGTCTGGGATCCTTTCTAAATTTTTATTTTGTTTATGGTATTCTTCTGCCTCTTTGGTTGTCTTTGCATATTGTCTTGTTTGGGAGGACGAAAGTGATATGGGGTAACTTGATGTGATTTGCAAGTAGCTTGGTGTCTTTCTGACTACAGTTTGATCCCTTTTGAGAATACTTTCTAGTGGAATGGGTTGGGTAGCGTGTAACCAGTTCTGTTCAGTTACAGTAGTTATTGCTGTAGTCAGGCTGGCTGGAGTTCAGCTACACTGTTTCCTGTCTTCATCACTGCTTTGGTAATGGTGGGAGGACCAGTCTGACCCATGGGGCCTTGTAGCCATGGGAGGAAATTGACTGTGTTACGCATTGGCAGGGTTGTCTTGGTCCAGGGAGAAGCACGGTCTTGCCTATAGTTGGACGTGGCAAACCTGCAAGTCTCAATGACACCTGTATTCTTTCATGGGCCCTGAAAGTGAGTGTAGATTTTACAATTTTAATAAGCAAGAGTGAGATGGATCCCAAAAGTCATCTTGAAAGCATACACTGGTATTAAAAAGTTTGTGTAAAATGGAATGAGAAGTATATTTTGGTGCAAAATTTTGAAGTCCACATGAGGAATCTTCAAAAAATTCATGGAAGAATGCATATTATGAAAAATTTTGTGGATTACAAAATATTTTGCAAAGAATAAAATTACCTTTTCATTCCTGTTTCTAAGGACTTAAAAAAAATTTAAAAAAAAATGCCAAAAGAGAGGGAGAGACAGAGACACATCTTCCACAGATCTTCTATCTACTGATTCACTTTCCAAATGACTCCAGTGGCTTTAGCTGGACTAGGCCGAAACCAGCAGCCTTCATCTCCATTCAGATCTCATGGATAGCAGGGCCCCAGAGCCTGGCTGGCTGCTGCTGCTTTCTCAAGCATGTTAGCAGAAACCTGGACTGCATGTGGAATCGTTGGGATTGGAACCAATGTTTGTATGATATGCTGTTATTACAGGTGCCAGCCTAACGAGCTGTGCCACATACAGTGCCAACTTATGGAAACTTTAAAGTGCCTTTGGTGTGGAAACCTGTGTGATGTTGTCAATTGGTGTCCATTGTTTCACGTGCTTCACTGAGGATTTTAGTTCTTCCGTGCGAGTGTTTGGGCTTCCAAGAAAGATTTAGTGTGACTAAAAAAATAATGCAGATGCTTCCTACGTTAGCCAAACAGCACAACTTTAGCATCACCTTTGGAAGGCTGTGCTTTTTGTTTTTTTGTTGTGTTTTTTTTTTTTTTTAAATACAGAGGGTTCTGTTTCAGAAGACAGAAATGTTTTCTTCCATGATTTTCATGTACAGTTTCCAAAACTTTGGGCTTGATTATTTTGACCTGTACAATGAGCAGAAATACCATTGTGGATTGGATAGTTATAATTGGCCTAATGTACATAAAGCTCTAAATCACAGAGATGATTGATTTAGCTTTGAAATTGCATGTTTTTAAAGAGGCAGTTGCATGTTTTTGGGCTCAGTCTTAATGTTTCCTGCCTAGAGGCTGTGTATACATACCTTGCTTGCTATGTGCTTAAAATGGGAGTAACTGCCTTGGGTGTCATTTGAAGCCAAGTTAGATTATGCAGTTAATAAAAGCTTAAAATAATGTGTGTCACTTGTCAGTTGAGTAATTCATTTATTATTTTTCAGTTTTTGTTGACATTGATTTTTATTGGAAAGGCAGATATACAGAAAGATCTTTCCATCCCATTGATTCACTGCCCAAGTGACCACAACAGCTGGAATACACCAATCTGTAGCCAGGAGACAGGAGCCTCTTCTGGATCTCCCAAGCGGCTATAGGGTCCCAAGGCTTTGGGCCATCCTCGGATGCTTTCCCAGGCCACAGGCAGGGAGCTGGGTGGGAAGTGGGGCTGCCGGGAATAGTACTGGTGCCCATATGGGATCCTAGTGCTTGCTAGGCCATGCCGCTGGGTCTGAGAGGGTTTTTTTTGTTTGCTTGTTTTTAGAGATTTATTTTTACTTGAAAGGCAGATTTTTACAGAGCCAGAAAGAGTTCTTCTGTCCACTGGTTCAATCCCCAAATGGCTGCAATGGCCAGAGCTGAGCATATCGAAAGCTGGGAGCTAGGAGTTTCATTCGGATCCCATGTGGGGTGCAGGGTCCTAAGAACCTGGCCATCACTCTGGAATGAATGTGGCGTGTATGAACTTCTCCCATGGAACTCACGAGTACCATGCTGAGACCATCAAGAACGTGCGCACGGCCACGGAAAGCTTTGCTTCAGACCCCATCCTCTACCGGCCAGTGGCTGTGGCTCTGGACACAAGGCCCTGAGATCTGAACAGGACTCATCAAGGGCAGTGGCACCGCGGAGGTGGAGCTTAAGAAGGGTGCCACGCTCAAGATCACATTGGACAATGCCTACATGGACAAGTGCGATGAGAACATCTGCAAGGTGGTGGATGATGGCCTCATCTCCCTGCAAGTGAAGCAGAAAGGTCCTGACTTCCTGGTGACGGAGGTGGAGAACGGTGGTTTCCTGGGCAGCAAGAAGGGTGTGAACCTGCCTGGGGCCGCTGTGGACCTGCCTGCAGTGTCGGAAAAGGATATCCAGGACCTTAAGTTCGGGGTGGAACAGGACGTGGACATGGTGTTTGCTTCTTTCATCCGCAAGGCAGCTGACGTGCATGAAGTCAGGAAGGTTCTGGGTGAGAAAGGGAAAAACATCAAGATCATCAGCAAAATTGAGAACCATGAAGGCGTGCGCAGGTTTGACGAGATCTAGGAGGCCAGTGACGGCATCATGGTGGCTCGTGGTGATCTTGGCATTGAGATTCCTGCAGAAAAGGTCTTCCTTGCCCCGAAGATGATGATCGGACGTTGCAACCGTGCAGGGAAGCCAGTCATCTGTGCCACACAGATGTTGGAGAACATGATCAAGAAGCCCCGCCCCACTCGCGCGCAGGGCAGTGACGTGGCCAATGTGGTCCTAGATGGAGCTGACTGTATCATGCTGTCCGGAGAGACCGCCAAGGGTGACTACCCCCTGGAGGTGGTCCGCATGCAGCACCTGATAGCTGGTGAGGCTGAGGCAGCCATGTTCCACTGCAAGCTGTTCGAAGAACTTGTGCAAGCCTCCAGTCACTCCACAGACCTCATGGAAGCCATGGCCATGGGCAGCGTGGAGGCTTCTTATAAGTGTTTAGCAGCAGCTTTGATAGTTCTGACGGAGTCTGGCAGGTCTGCTCACCAAGTGGCCAGGTACCGCCCACGCGCCCCCATCATTGCCATGACACGGAATCATCAGACGGCCCGTCAGGCCCACCTCTACCGCGGTATCTTCCCCGTGGTGTGTAAGGACCCTGTCCAACAGGCCTGGGCTAAGGATGTCGACCTTCGGGTGAACTTGGCCATGAATGTTGGCAAGGCCCGTGGCTTCTTCAAGACTGGAGATGTGGTCATTGTGCTGACCGGCTGGCGCCCTGGCTCCGGCTTCACCAACACCATGTGCGTGGTGCCAGTGCCATGAAAGCCTGCAGCCGTTCCTCCAGCCACTGTCCCGTCCCGTCCCCCCTACCCATCCATTAGGCCAGCAATGCTTGTAGTGCTCCCTGGGGCCTGTAGTATGGCACTGGTGGGCTGGGACGTCGGTGGAAGAGCTGGAAGATGACTGGGCACGCCAGAACTCTGCTGCTCATCATGTGGCTCTGCCCATGGCCCCACGCGTTGCACTGTGTGGTTCCTATAGAATGCATCCCCAGGACAACTCCCAATCCTGGCCTGGGGTCATGCACAGACAGCAGGGCCTTAAGGGAAGCTGCAGATCCGGTTTTGGCAGGTCTGGGCCCCTGACTCCCCCCACTCCCAAGTTGTGTGCATTGTGCTCACCTGCGTTCCCTTCCCCACTCAGCTGACGCCGCCAACAAACACTCCATCAGCACCTTCCACTTCCCCCACGAGCACGGCCCATCCAGGCCTGTTGCTGCAGAGCCTGCCTGTGTGTCAATAAACAGCGGCTGAACAAAAAAAAAAAAACCAAACAAACAAGAACCTGGCCATCGTCCTCTGCTTTGCCAGGCCACAAGCAGAAAGCAAGATGGAAAGTGGAGCAGCCGGGACACAAGCCGTCACCACAGGACTGTGCCTTAGCTTACTGCACCACTCTGCTGGCACCACTTAAGTAGGCAGTTAAAAAAAAGTTCAATCTGTGCTTGTCTCAACTAATCTTTCAGCCAGGTATCTGTAAAAATTGTACAGATCATTAATCTGTCATGAATCACTTTTTGATTATCTCCACCATTTGCAGCAACCTTGTAAAAAGTATGGGGAAAATAACTTTTACTGTATGGTTCCAACCTTTGTGGAATGAATTTTTCCGATGCTTGATTCAGTTTGATTGCTTTACCTTTTTTCTCTATAATTTCAGTGTTAGAGTTAGCCACCCAAACAGAATCCCATTGTTGTAGGTATGAGTCTCATTGCCTCGTTGCTTCTAGTTCTGTCACTTTCTTGCTGTGGGCCACTATTTAAAACAAAGTAAGGTATTTCCACAAGGTATTTAGAAACCTGTTCTGTCTGGTTTTACCTTGTCTTTTCAGTTCTGTTTTTTGTTGTATCTGGAACCTCTGGGCAGTTGATAGCGTTTGCCATGTGACATTTGTGTTTCATAATTTCCTGCTGCTTCCTTCTTTTTTCTCTTTTTAACTGGACTGCTCTCTTGCTCCCTCTTACCCCTCCAGGTTGGGTTTAGATGCCTGTGTTGCTTAAGGCTGTCTGCTGCTAGAAGTGATCCTCTCCTGGGAGCTACAGTAGATCCCCTGTTAGATGACTTTGTTTTAGGAGGCTTTAACCTCTCCGAGGAAAGGAACTAGTTTGTACGCTCTGCATGTCTATGTGAAGCTCTGTCATGGCTTGCACCTATTGGTTAGTTGGTAAATGTGTCTGTTGAGTGGCTTAGCACAGTGATTCTCAACTCTTAATTCAGTGTACTCTTATCGACGTAAGTCAGTGTAACATCTTTATAATTCTTTAGTATTTTGAATTAAATATAAAAGTATTTGCATAGCATCTAGAAAATATATATTAGTATCTTACATAGAAAATTAAAAGGGAGCATTTGATAATAGTAAGATCTAATTAGGTCAGTGCTTGAGTTCTGTCACACAAGGTGACATTCAGTTGGTTACAACTGTGTTTGAGTTCAAGAAATGATAATTACAGCACACTTAAATATCACAAGTCACACTTTTTTTAGGAGTTATTTTTATTTGAGAGGCAGATTTACAGGGAGGAGAGACAAAGAATCCACTGGTTCACTCCCTAAATAGCTGCAAGGTCTGAAGTTAAGCCAATCTGAAGCTAGGAGACAGGAGCTGCTTCTGGGCTTCCCATGTAGCTTCAGGGTCCCAAGTCCATATGCTGTCCCTGGCCATAAACAGGAGGCTGGACGGGAAGTGCCTGGGGCACGAACTGTCTCCATATGGGATCCTGGAGCTCAGCATTGGATTAGCCTGTTCTGGGCACTTTTAACATGGGCTTTCAGTATATACTGGTGAACATTAAAAATATGTATGAATCTTGGGTTGATTTGCCTGCATCTCTTGGAAAACTAGCATAGGGCAGATGCTGCGGTCCAGTGGGTTTAGTAACTACTGGGAATTTTCATAACCAGTGTTGGAGAGTCTGGTTCAGATTCCTCAGGCATGGCCACTCTGCAGCTTTGTTTTATTTCTTCTTCTTCTTCTTCTTCTTCTTTTTTTAATAAATGTATTATGTTGTTAGAAAGTCAGATATACAAAGAGAAGGAGAGACAGAGAAGAGGGTCTTCCGTCCGATGATAGATTTCCCAAGTGGCAGCAACGGCCATAGCTAAGCCGGTCCTAAGCCAGGAGCCTTCTCCAAGTGTCCCACTTGGGTATGTGGTTCCAAGGCTTTTGGGCTGTCCTTTCCTGCTTTCCTAGGCCATAAAGCAGGGAGCTGGATGGGAAGTGGGGCTGCTGGGATTAGAACCAGCGTCCATATGCAATCCTACCACATGCAAGGCAAGGACTTTAGCCAGTAGGCTACCACGCTGGGGCCCCCCCCTTTTAAATTTATTTTTATTGGAAAGGCAGATGAGAGTTACACAAAGGAGAGATTTAGAAATATCTTCCATCCTCTGGTTTGCTCCCCAAAATGCTGCAACATCTGGAGTTGAGCCCCACCCCAAAGCCAGGACCCAGGGCTTGGTACAAAGTCCTAAGGCTTTGGGTCATCCTTGACTGCTTTCCCAAGGCATAGGCAGCGAAAGAGTTGGACGAGAAGTGAAGCAGCCAGGATGTGAACTGGCATCCCTATGGGATTCTGGAGCTTGCAAGGTGGTAAAGATTTAGCCTTTGAGTCATCATGCCTGACCACACTTGGCTTCTAATCTTGCTTCCTGCTGATGTGCGTAGGAGGCAGCAGATGTTGGAGGTCCTCTCCCCTGGCTTTTCCACCTTTGGGAAATGAAAACGGTAGATGGAATGTCTCTGTATCTACCACTTATCTCTATCACTACCCTTCAGGTAAAAAACCCTATATAAGTTTTTCTGACATGCCAAAAGCAGCAGATCAGGTCCGAACTAAGAAATCCGAAGCATATGTTTGAGCCTAAGTCTCAGCTACATCTTTAGGTTTATTTGTGACTTCTGTATGGATTTCCAAGACTTTGTAAATATAGTTCATGGAACACGTTCTTCGTTGTGTTTGACGGTTCTGTAAATAGTACTTAAAGTGGCTTAAAATCAATGGTTTCTTTAAAACATTTTGCACACAAAGTTTAAAAATTTTTTAGAAGTGCTTTTTATTTGAAAGTGGTTATTACAGAGAAAGGAGAGATGGAAGAGATCTTCCATCTATTGGATTATTCCCTAAACGGCTGCAGTGGCCAGAACATCAGGAACCAGGAGCTTTTTATTGGTTGCCCATGTGGTGCTGGGCCCAAGTATTTGGACCATCTTCATTGCTTTCCCAGGCACATTAGCAAGGAACTGGATTGGAAATGAAGCCGGTGGGACTTTGAAACGGCACCGAAATGGGATGATGGCTCAACATCACCTGTCTCCCAGAATTTAAATTTTGAAAGACCAAGTTATAATGCATAAAATTGCATGGGTCTGTATTACATACATACAAACAAATTTGAAGATTGAATTAAACCTCAGATTCTTTTGTATTTGGTAATGCGTGTATTTTTTCCTTCTTTGAGAGGCAATAGTGACAAGGAAACAGATAAGCTGAACGCTTCCCAGTCACTGTTTCGTTCTCCAAATGGCTGCAATTGCTAGGAGTGGTCCAGGCCAAAGCAATGAGCCGGATACTCGATTCTGTTCTCTCATGAGTGGCAGGGACTCAGCTGTTTGAATCCTCTCCTTTGGAATCCCCGGCGTTACACATTTGTAGGAAACTGGATGGGGAAGGATTTGAAACTAGACACTGCAAGAGGGATGCTTGGCCTAGTGCTGGTCTTGTATGTGTGTTTACCACAGTGGCTAAATGTAGCATAGAGATTACGTTTCCGCAATTTCAAATCTGTAATACAAAAAAATAATCACTTCATTTTTTGTGTTAATGACAAACTATGCCCTTTAAAAGACATATCTTTTATTTGACTCGTTGCAGCAACAGGTGCGTTTTTTGAAAGATATATTTATTTTTAAAGAGAGGAGGAGAGAGAGATATTTCCAGCCAGTGAGTGGTTCAGTCTCTAAATGGCCTCAGCAGCCAGAACTGGGCCTGTCCAAAGCCAGGAGCTTCTTCTAGGTCTCCCACATGTGCAGGAGCATTAAACCTTGGGCCATCCTCCTCTGCTTTCCCAGATGGTAAGCAGGGGGCTGGATGGGCAGCAGAGCAGCTGGGAGCTGGTAAGGTGACTTGAAAGATGCCCAGTGCTGCTTTAGGGTTGACAACTGTGATATTTTAACTGACAATTTCAGCTTGGATGTCTTGTATGGAGATTTATTTTGCCATATTTTCAGCACTAAAGATTTTTAACTGGAAATAACAAAATAGAGCCCTGATATGGAATGCCCCACTTTGTCACTTTATGATTCCATCTTGTTGTCTGTTTCTTTTACCAAGCCAGGGCCAGAAAGTACGGCCCAGGGGCCATTTCTCAGTTCTTGATTACATTAAAAATGATTGGAGCATTGCTGTGTTCATTTATTTTTGCATATTATTTATTTTTGTTGTGAAAAGCATCACCACAAGTTGAAAATATTTCCTGTCATAGAAGTGGGTGATTTTTTTTTTAAGATGTATTTTTTATTTTTTATTGGAAAGGCAGTTATACAGAGGAGGAGAGATAGAGAGGAAGACCTTCCATCCGATGATTCACTCCCCAAGCAGCCGCAATGGCTGGAGCTTCACCAATCAGAAGCCAGGATCCTCTTCCAGGTCTCCCACGTTGGGTGCAGGAGCCCAAGGCTTTGAGCTGTCCTCAGTTGCTTTCCCAGGTCACAAGCAGGGAGCTGGATGGTAATTAGGGCTGCCAGGATTAGAACCGGCACCCATATGGAATCCTGGCGCATTCTAGGCAAGGACCTTAACCACTATGCTATCGTGCCAGGCCCTGAAGTGGGTAATTTGAACATCCTTTTGCTGAACAAGTTTGGCAGAGGACCAAAATGATTGATACAGACAATATTTTAAAAATCAGTATTCAGAGAAGGTATACTTCCCATTAATCTTTTTTCTGTTAAAGATTTATTTATTTATTTATTTTTTATTGGAGATGTACAGAGAGAAAGATTGTCCATTTGAAGGTTCACTCCACAAGTGGCCGCATCAGGTGGAGCTGAGCTGATCCCAAGCCAGGAGCCGGGAGTGTGTTCCAGATGTCCCACACCAGTGCAGGGTCCCAGGGCTTTAGGCTGTTCTCCACTGCCTCCCAGTCCACAAAGCAGGGAGCTGGGTGGGAAGCGGGGCTGCTGGGGTTGGAACTGGTGCCCATATGGGGATCCTGGCACATTCAAGGCAAGGACTTTAGCTTCTAGGCCACTGCACCGGGCCTGCTTCACATAATCTTGGGGGAAGATCAATGTGGGAATTGTTGGACTTCAGTCAGTTTTGTGAATTTTGGTTTTTCTACGATGGTTGCTTCTGATACTGCTTACTTTTTGTGGTTTGATCTTGGGAGTTTGTCTATTAAATAATATTAAATAATTATTTGAACCAGATAGCGTGGTCTTGAAAAATGCAGAAATACATTTAGGTAGAAAGTTAAGTGTATTTTAAAACTTAACAAAAGTATGGTAGGCTTATAAAAATGAGGGTGGCTGGGGCTGGCACAGTGGCATAGCACGCTAGTCCTCCATGCATGGAATCAGCATCCCATTGGTTGCCAGTTCCAGTCCTGGTTGTTAAATAAAATGCTTATTGGTTAGTGTTGTGATTTCCCTGGTTTATTCAATGGGCAGTGCCCATACTTAAGTCCTATCTTTAAAGTGATGGTTGTATTTTTGATTTGCTAGTAAGTTTATAAAAATTCAGTTTTTCAGTTAGAATTATGTGAGGTTTTTCACTGACTTATTGTCTAAGTTACTTTGAGATGGTGTTTAATGAAAGCCTTTTTTTTTTAAGAAACTAAACATCTTTGTTATTAAGGAAACTTTATTCACACTAGTTAACTGTGGAAGGCAGATTTCCACTCTGAATTTCATTAGTCATTAAAGTGTTAGATTATGGAAAAATATTAATGCAAGCTTCTTTCTAATTTATATAAATCTGATATAACTGGTGCATAAAATAAAAAGATTACCTGGAGACAGTTTCATTATATCCCTCAAACGTGGTTTTAGAGTGATGACATGGATTTTGTTACAGATAATTATCATGTAGTCATTACAATGATACACTCTTGAATGTGGAATATTTTCTAGTAGGTTTTGTAAGTCTCTAGGACTTGTTTTTATTAGATACTTCCTATTGATTAATGTTTTAAACTCTTAGCAGATATTGTGTAGAAGTAGTTAACTGTTTCACACCGCTGCTAATTTTCTGTATAAAAGCAGTTTGAAAATTGATGTATCTATCTCTGCCTTTACTGTCTCACTTGAATTTAAGATTTTTGTGAACTAGTATCTCATTGTATGAATCACAAATTGCTTTTCTATAAACATTTAAGCTGTTTGAGTCCTATTTAGTGAAAGGTGTAAAATCTACATTTCCTTTTTGTAGATACATAGCATGTGTGAATGCAGTAAAATAATTGAAAAATTTACTGTTTTGCAGTTATAGGTTGTATATCAACTGCTAATTGTGTAACTTAGCTGTTGGATATGGAAAAAGTTGGGTTTAAGAGGAAATTTGTTTTCCAATGCTGCTTATATTCGTTTTATGAATACTTGAAAAAAAGAATAGGATCAATAAGCATTAGGAGGGTTGTATTTATTTTTTAAATATAAAATATTTCATTTTCAGTGTTGTGCTTAAATCTCAGTGTCCTGATAGATCTCTGTTTTGATTTTCTGCTGACAGGTCACACTTAGGGCAGGCAAAACATCAGGGATATAGCCCTCCTGAGAGTAGAAAATCTAATTCTAAGGCACCCAAAGTGCAGTCTAATACTACTTCAGAACTGTCAAGGGGACACCTTTCTAAAAGGTAAATCTTCATGTTGCCTAATACCTTTTCAAGACAGAATTATTTGCATTTGAATCCTTGCGTACTTATTAAATCTTGCGTGTTTTACCTCAAAATGTTATTCATGTTTTTTCATTCCAAGTGTAATGTTTAGGATTAATTATTTATGGCCTTAGTAGTGATAGTGCGTTGTACCCTGGACCCCTGGACACACCTTTTTTTCCCTTGTTTAGCTCTGAGGTTTCCCAGTTTGTTTCTTTTTTTTTTTTAAAGATTTATTTTTATTATTTTGTTATTGGAAAGGCGGATGTACAGAGAGGAGAGACAGAGAGGAAGATCTTCCATCCGATGATTCACTCCCCAAGTGAGCGCAACGGGTCGATACTATGCCGATCCGAAGCCAGGAGCCTCTTCTGGGTCTCCCACGTGGGTGCAGGTTCCCAAAGCTTTGGGCCGTCCTCGACTGCTTTCCCGGGCCACAGGCAGGGAGCTGGAAGGGAAGCGGGGCTGCCAGGATTAGAACCGGCGCCCATATGGGGTCCCGGGCGTGCAAGGCGAGGACCTTTAACCACTTGCGCCACCGCGCCGGGCCCTCCCAGTTTGTTTCATAAGCAATTATAGGTGGCTAAAATGTCATTTAAACATTTTAGTTTTCAGTGTGAGCCCCACAGTGATTCTTAGGATCTAATTTGTAGGACTCTTTGGAACTGAACATATCTGTGAGTAGTGGTTAGAACTACAAGATAATTTATAAGCTGCATTTTGAAAGTGTTTACATCACTGCTTATTTATCTTAATTTTAAAAATTTTTTTTTTTATTGGAAAATCAGATTTAAGAGAAGAGAGAGAGATTCTCCATCCAGTGGTTAACTCCCTAAGCAGCCACAATGGCCAATGCTGAACTGATCAGAAGCCAGGAGCTTCCTCCTGGTCTCCCACATGGGTGCAGGGACCCAAGGCTTTGGGCCATCGTCGACTGTTTTCCCAGGCCCCAGGGAGGGAGCTGAATGGGAAGTGGGGCGCCAGGACATAAACTCTGGTGCTCATATGGGATCCTGGCGTGTGCAAGGCGAGGAATTTAGCCACTAGGCCACCATGTTGGGCCTTTATTGCTTATTTTTTATTAGATTTGACAAAGCAGTTGTATTTGTGAATAGTGTTAAAGTTCCAATTTCTGAGATATTTTTCTCTTGTGATAAGAGTGTGTTAATGTCTTTTGACTAAAGAATACGCTTCTGGTCATTTGAAGTGACGTACCTTCCTCTCCATTTCAGATAGACATTTGAAAATCTATTTCTCCAACACTAGATTGACCAGGAGAATTTTTGCTTTCTTTTTCAAGCCCTATTTCCAGAGATTTGGAAAGTTAGGATATAGTTTTGCATGACAAGTTTATTGATGTTGGGCTGATGCAAACCTTTGGTTTTTTTAATCTATCCTTTTAGAAGCTGCGGTTCATCATCTGCTGTCACAGTACCACAATTGGAGGATCCAGAAAGAGCCAGTACTTCAGAAAGGCAGAAAACAGTGCAGGTGCCTAAGAAAGACAATTCTCGAGGAGTGAAACGCAGTGCTAGCCCAGATTACAACAGGACCAATTCTCCTAGCTCTGCGAAAAAGCCCAAAGCGCTTCAGCATACTGAAGCTTCGTCAGAAACGAAGAAGCCACATAGTAAGTCAAAGAAGAGACCTTTAGACCAGGAGCAACAGCTGAAATCTGCACAGTCGCCATCAACTAGCAAGGCTCACACCAGGAAGAGTGGGGCCGCTGGGAGTTCACGGAGTCAGAAAAGAAAGAGGACAGAAAGTTCTTGTGTAAAGAGTGCTGCTGGGTCCGAACCAACTGGTGCCGAAGAGAGATCTGCAAAACCTACCAAGCTGGCTTCAAAATCCGCCGCCTCAGCAAGAGCTGGCTGTAGCACCATCACTGATTCTTCTTCTGCTGCCTCTGCCTCCTCTTCGTCCTCTGCTGTAGCCTCGGTCTCCTCCACTGCACCAGCAGGAGCCAGGGTGAAGCAAGGGAAAGATCAGAGCAAGGCCAGACGTTCCCGCTCAGCATCCAGCCCCAGTCCCAGAAGAAGCAGCAGGGAGAAGGAACAGAGTAAAACTGGTGGCTCTTCAAAATTTGATTGGGCTGCTCGCTTCAGCCCGAAAGTTAGCCTTCCTAAAACAAAACTGTCTCTTCCAGGGTCTTCTAAGTCAGAGACATCAAAACCTGGACCTTCTGGATTACAGGCCAAATTAGCAAGTAAGTTTTCAAAAAGATCTTTTTTTCCTGTTAAACTTGCCCTTGGGTTAACAACAGTGATGCTGCTTTCACAGTGGAGTCCTGCCTCTCGGTCTGGAGCACTGCTAGATTCGTTACTGTACCAGAGTCTTGCCCTAACAGTACATTAATAATTCATATTCTAGTTTTATGGAAATGGTAAGGAATATTACGTCCCTCTTATTTTTAATCCATCACATGTTTGTATCTTTACTCTTTGTCCCTAGCAGTACTGGCTACTGTATGGGAAGTTTTTTTATAATACCAGATATGAAAGTTACAAATTGCTCTTGTCCATCACAGAGCAATTGTTCACTTTTAATATGATTTTTTTTCTGTACAGAAACAATTTGGTGGTTAAAATCAGTGTATGCTAATAAATATTAAAGATTGTTCATGTAATATTTTATGGCTTTTCTGAAACTTACTGAAAAATTATTACGTGTTTCAGATAGTTTTAGGTTAGTGGAAAAGTATGTTCCCTGATTGTTACAGAAAATTATTGTTTGAGAATAATATATTTCAGCAGAGAAACAGAAGCTAGCCATACATTGTATGAGCTAGGCTTGGAGACTACCAGGCATTTCTTTTTCTTTGCCCAGAGGATTCTTAGGAAGGCAGCTGTTTATCTTATTTAGAGTTGATTAGAACTGGTAATTAACTGTCTTCAGTTATATTATTATTGTAATGTTAACATGACTTTGTTTTTTCATGTTCTATTTTGAGAACTATTCAAAGGACAGATAAAACAGTGAGGCATATAACTGCAATTGTTATCTGAGTTACATGTTTACTTGTAGAATGACAGCGGAAGAAGGAGAAACAGATTCTTAGTTGCTCTCATGGCCACAGCAGCCAGGGCTGGGCGAAGTGGGAGCTGGGACCTTTCTCTGGTTCTCTCACATGGGTGGGGGTGGGGGTGGGCAGAGGCTCAGCCACCTGGGCCTTCCCTACGCTGCCTTTCCAGGCTGTTAGTGTTGAGTTGAACCTTAAGTGGAGCAGACAGAACTTTAAATAGTGCACATGTGGGATTTTGGCATCTCAGGCCATGGGCTTTACCTGCCATGCCATACCACCAGCCACTGTAGCTTCAGTTTTTAAAAATGCTTAATTTTGTAGTGTTTAGTTAATCAAGAAACTTGTTTTTGACAATCCTTTCCTTTTTGAGTTCTCAGAAGCTTCTGGGTTGTTTTATTTACTTTTTCAAGATTTATTTATTTTTACTGGAAAAATCAGTTTAAGGAGAGGAGAAACAGAATGATCTTCCATCCACTAGTTCACTCCACAGATGACTGCAGCGACCAGAACTGAGCTGATCTAGAAAGCCAGGAATTTGTTTCCGGCGTCCCATGCAGGTGCATGATCCAGGGCTTTGGGCCATCCTCTACTCTCCCTGGCCAGAAGCAGCAAGTTGGAAGGGAAGTGGAGCGGCTGGAACATGAACTGATGCACATGTGGAATCCCGGTGCTTGCATGTAAAGGATTAACCATTATACCGGATCCTGGGTTGCTTTATTTTTATTGCAGCAGACAGACATACAGAGAATAATCTCCCATCTGCTTGTTTGCTCCTCAGATGGCCACAGTCACCAGAGCTGAGCTGATGCAAAGCCAGGAGCTTCTTCTGGGACTCCAATACGTGTACGGGGGCCCAAGGACTTGACCCATCCTCTGCTGCTTTCCCAGGCAGCTAGATAAGAAGTGGAACAACTGAGACTTGAATCAGTGCCCATATGGGATATCAGCACTGCAGATGAAGGATTATTTCGCTGTGCTGGCCCCAGCTTCTGATTTTATATCTGCAATTTGATAAGGCTTGGGCCATTGGTAAATGAGAAATCTTATAGTCTTATACTAGCATCGCTAAAGTTTAGCTAATATTGAAGCAGAGCTATTAGTGCTGTTTACTTTAACCCCTACAGTACTAAACAAGTTTTGGTTGATTCAGTATTAGCCCAACTCTAATAAGGGTACTAGTTGGCACTATATTAAAATCTGACATTTAGGGCCCGGCGCGGTGGCGCAAGTGGTTAAGGTCCTCGCCTAGCACGCCCGGGATCCCATATGGGCGCCGGTTCTAATCCTGGCAGCCCCGCTTCCTTTCCAGCTCCCTGCCTGTGGCCCAGGAAAGCAGTCGAGGACGGCCCAAAGCTTTGGGACCCTGCACCCGCGTGGGAGACCCGGAAGAGGCTCCTGGCTTCGGATCGGCATAGCATCGACCGTTGCACTCACTTGGGGAGTGAATCATCGGATGGAAGATCTTCCTCTCTGTCTCTCCTCTCTGTATATCTGCCTTTCCAATCAAAAAATAATAAAAATAAATCTTAAAAAAAAAATCTGACATTTAGCCTATATCGTTAGGTTCTTGTGAAGGTGACATCTTTTGCTTTTAGATTGTAAAATCTTTTTTCGATTTGGTATTATGTAATACACCTGTATAAAATCTTCCAAAATTAAGGGTGAAATGACGGAACGTAGCTATATAAATATAATCAGTATTAAATGGGATCGGCATTTGATACGGTGGTTCAATGTCCCCAGAGAAGCTGATGGGACACAGTGGGTTAAGCTGCTGCTTATAACAGTAGCTTGCACGGGCCGATCACAGGTTTGAGTTCTGTTTGCTTCTGCTGCAGCTTACAGCTAGTGCCCTGCAAAGTCAGTAGAAGATTGCCTAAGTGCTTGCATTCCTGTGGCCCAGGTAGGAGTCCAGGACCAGGTTCTGGCTCCTGGCTTCAGTCTGCTCCGACCCCATTGTTGGAGCCATTCTGGAAATGAACTTGCTGAAAGAAGATCTCTTTCTCTTTTTTTTTTTTTTCCTTTTCTCTCTTAACTCTGCCTTCCAAATAAACAGACTAATAATTTTGAAAAAATACATTCCTAGAGTACTTCGGTTCCAATCTTAGCTCGATTCCCATGTCAGCTTCTAGGTGATGCACACCCTGGAGGAGAGCAGATACTTGTTCAGGTCGTTGTCCCTACCACTCCCCTAGAAAAACTGGTCTGAGATCCAGGCTCCCGGGTTGGCCTTCTCAGTCCCACTTGTTGCAGGCATTGTTGAGTGAAGAAGTGAATGGCAACTTTCTCACTTTTTCTGTTAAAAAAAGACAGTTGGCCACCTCCAGTGCCAGCATCCCCATATTGGCATTGATTTGAGTTCCGGTTGTTCTGCTTCTGAATCAGCTGCTTGGGAATGCAACAGAAGGTGGCCCAAGTGCTTGGGCCCCTGCACCCAAGCAGATTGAGAAGTTCCTAGTTTTGGCCTAGCCCAGATACAGCTGTTGTAGCCATTTTGGATTGAACTAGCAGATAGAAGACCTCTGTGTGTCTGTCTCCCTTTCTAATTCTGCTTTTCAGATGAATTTTGCTTTTTAAGGGACAATCAGCTTTCTTATTCTGTTGAAACTTTCACAATTGCAATAATTACATCATTTCATAGTATCCTCTCCTTTTCTTAGTGAGCCGCTGTGCATGTGTGTGCCCGTGTGTGTCCATATTCATTTTAGGAGTTGGTGGTCTGTTGCCAGTGGGCCAGCGTAAGCTCAAATTTTCCCTTTCTGCCCTCTTGTTTAGTTCTCTTAAAGAGTTCATCTCAGCCAGTGCTTATTTCTCGGAAGATTCCAAGACTAGGTGATAACAAGCTGCTTTTGAATGTCAGATTCTTGGCTCTTTGCAGAAATTGGTTTTCTTGAAACATGTTTCAATACGATTTTTACCTGAGGACCTGCCCCTAGCAGTGGCTGACCAGTGGAGTTGCCTTGATTGTGTAGGAGTTCCCAGTAAGGAAACAGTGCCATGATAAAAGTAGGCCAAATAATTCTGTTAAACTTGCTCTATGTATGTTCCAGAATGATTCAGTATTTTAAAACCTATTTTTCATAATTATTTTCCACACAAAATATAGGTACTGCTATAAGTGTAAAATCCCTTTTCTAGTTTTATTTTCACTATTTTAATGTCTAGTTAGTTTAAGCTGGTGAAACCAGAGAAAGTTTCCAGCTGTTGTTTGGCAGGTATTTTACATACACACTCATATTTACTTTCAAAGTAATGGTACTCTAGGATAGCTTAAAAAAATTGAAATAATTTCTAGGTAACATCGATAGCCCAGGATTTGAAGATAGGATTATGACTAGCATTGAAGTCTTGGCTTGGTTCATCATACACTGATTTTCTGTTAATTCCCTACATTTTATTGCAGCATAATTGGATCATTTGAGGACACTAAAAGCTTTGAGGAAATTAAATTTTATTTGATCCCCTTTGGCTACTTCAACATTTTTTTTCCCAAAAATATATTTATTCGGAATTCTGAGTTGTAGAGAGAGAGATTTTTCGTTTGATAGTTCATTCCCCAAATGGCTGCAGTGGGCAGCAATGGGGGAGGCTGATGCCATGAACTTGGAAGTCCATCCATGTTTCCCTTGTGGTCGCAGGGGCTGAATCATGTGGACCGTCTTCTCCCAGGGGCGTCAGCGGGGAGCTGAGGACAGGAAGTGACCCTTAGATGCCATGCCAGTATTGCTGTGTGTAGTTATAGCACCAGCCTCATTGATTAATCATTAGGAATGAATACTGTGTGAACTCAGTTTCATATCCTTTTTTTTTTTTTTTTTTTTTTTTTTTTTTTTGCATTTTAGGATGAAATAATATCTGCTTTTACTGTTTGTAAGTGCCTGGGTGATTATTGCATGGATTGTCTTATTTGCTGCTCCTAAGTTCTGCGTAACCAGTAGACTTCCGGACAGTTTAACTTCCAGGGCTGGCTCTGGTGACGTGGTAGAAGCTGCTTCCTGTGGTGCTGGCATTCTGTAAGGCTGCCAGTTTGTGTCCTGACTGCTACGCTTCAGATCCAGCTCCTGGCTGATGGCTTGGGAAAGCAGTGGACAATGGCCCAAGTACTTAGTCTACTGCACCCACATGAGAGACCCAGAAGAAACTCCTGATACTTGGCTTCTGCCTCACTCTACAGTTGGCCACAG